ATTCATGTGCACATATTTCTGTTCTCTTGAGTATATACCTAGGAGTGAAATTGCTGGATCATATGGTATCTGTATGTTTAGCCTTTCATGGAATGGCCAGACTGTTTAGAGTTTACAGCAGAGCAGCTGTACCATTTTACATGCCCACCAGCAATGTACAGGTTTCCAATTTCTCCACATCTGTGCCAACACTTGTTATTTTCTGTTTGGTTTTTTAATAACCATCCTAGTGAGCATGAGGCCCCTGGAATTTTTATTTTTTTATACCTTCCCTAGTCTTCCCCAACAGACTGACTTGTTGATGGCTGGGATTATGCTTTAATTGGCAGCAACATGGTGTGAGAGTTAATGCAGGGGCCGAGCTTGCATCTTGTCCTACTTTATGATTTCTTGAGTCACTTGGCTTCTCTGAGCTGGAATCCCTTCGTCTGTAAAATGGAAATTTCTAGGGCTATTGAGGGGAAGAAATGAGATTGAGCCTTAACTTGCCGGGGTCAGTGCCTGGCCTAGGGTGATTTCTCCATAAAGGTTTGCTGTAATTAACCATGTTCATAACTTTCCAGGCCCAGGCCCCAGTAACTTGAATAAATGTTTGTTAAATGAATCAGCCCTTCGATATTGCTCAATTAGCCTTCTTTTCTATTTCTACCAACTGTTCCCCAAATCCCAGACAGCTGTCTTGCAAACTGATCACTCCCAAGACAGAGAGAAAGAGTGGCTCGATCAATGGAACGGCTTCCCTGGAAAAATATAACATGAAAACCTTGATATGCTTGTGTTGGGGGTGGAACACCAGGAGGGCACAGGGAGCTTGTGTCCTATTAAGGGAAGGAAAACTAAAAGAAGCTCTTAGATGACAAACAGCCTTCTTAGAAAGGTGATGACACCAGGAAGCTGCCTCGTTGAGGGTTCAGTCAATGGCCTCAGGGCGGGGAAAGAGCAGCTCTCTAGCTCTCTCCACTCCGGAAAGCACTCTCCACTTAGAGAGGGCTTGAGGGCCTCTTAGGTGCTGAGGGCTCAGGAGCTGGCCTCAGGCCCCTCTCTCTCCATCCATCTCTTGAACTGGCAACTCGGGGTGTGCAGGCTCCCACCCGGTCAGCCGCTGGGCAGCTTTCTCTGGCTCTGGGGACGCTTCCAGAATCCACCTCTTCTCACCCTCCAGCCACACTGGCCTTTCCTCTGTTCTTGAACACACCGGCTTGGTTTCTCCCTCTTTTCACTTGCTGTTCTCTCTGCCTGGCGTGTCCCCCGCCTCCAAGCTCACCTCACAGAGAGGCCTCGCCCTCCGACCACCCTGGCTCACATAGGGGTCCCCACGTGTGCCCCATCGGTCACCACTCTCTTGCCTGACTTTTCTTGCTTTCTTTTTTAATATTTATTTTCTGTTTTTATTTTTATTTCTTTATTTGTGGTACGTGGGCCTCTCACTGTTGTGGCCTCTCCCGTTGCGGAGCACAGGCTCCAGACGCGCAGGCTCAGCGGCCATGGCTCACGGGCCCAGCCGCTCCGCGGTGGGATCTTCCCGGACCGGGGCACGAACCCGCGTCCCCTGCATCGGCAGGCGGACTCTCAACCACTGCGCCACCAGGGAAGCCCTATTTTGTGTTTTTAAATGAAATATTTCTAACATAAAACAATAAAACGAACACCCATGTGCCCATCTCCCAGGCTTGACAAGGGCTAATGCTCTGCGCTACTTGCTTACTTTAGATCTTTCCTTTTAATCAACTTTATCGAAGCATAATTCACATACAGTAAATACATACATTTTAAATATATAGTTTATTGATTTGGGGGCAAATGCACCTGTGTAACCACTACCACAATCAAGATACAGAATATTTCCATATCCCCAGAAAGGCCCCTCACCTCCCGTACCCTGCAGGAGTTTTCTTCCTGGTACTCAACATTATCTGAAATCACCTCATTCATGACTTTTTTAGTCTGTTTCCTGTCTGTCTTCACCGCCAGAGTGTATGTTCTACAAAGGCAGGGACCGTATCCCATTCCTAGTCCAGGCACATACTAGGCCCACAAGCAGTCTATGGAAGCCATGATATTGTCTTCATTATCCTGTGTGTACACATCCCGACACACATGTCTGAGGATATCTGTGGGGTAAGTTGCTGGGAATGGAACTATTGGGTTAAAGAATATTTACTCTTCTCCTGTTATCACAAAAGAGACATCTACCCCCCTTTCTCTTGTCTATCCAGGGTTTCTCAACCTCAGCACTGTTGCCATTTGGGGCTGGATCATTCTTTGGGGTCTAGGACTTACACTAGATTTGGGTATCCTACAAAGGGAAGAGTTCCAGGAGCATCCCTGACCCCAGTTGTAACAACCAGAATGTCTCCAGACATTGGCAAATGTCCCCAGTTGAGAACCACTGGTCTGTGTACATGGGCTAATTTCTTGCCATCCTAAATTGTTCCTCAGTTGAGCCCATCCCTAAACAAACTACCCTCGACGACTGGATTGGTTGAATCCATTTTTTGCCCTGTTTATGCAGCTCAGCTGACTGAATTACAAGTCCTGATCACTGTCTTTACAGCTACATCATCAAAGGAGATGCTGGTTTGTTTTAGAAGCAGGGAAGGCATCACTCTGACTTATAAACCTGGGAGGAACAAAAAGTCCACAGGACATGAATGGCTTCTCCATGGCCTGGTCACCAGCATAATTCACAGCATTCTTTGCCTGAGGACAAATATGTCTTCAGGGTCATGCTCTGAAGATGCGGCATCTTCCAGGCCTTCAAGAGCAAGAATGAAACCCCTAGCAAATGCGTAAAGGGCTCTGAACTTCTTTGATTACTCAGGACACTGAGTTGGCCGTTTCTTTCTTGAAAAATCTGCAAGCTTATGTGCCCAGAGCTGGACAGCAGGAACCTAAAGGGTGAAGGAGGACAGGTGGGGACCCAGTGACGTGAAGAGGCAGGTCCCATCTAGAGGGCACTGCATTGTGGCCAGATGTTGCCAGGTGGGAATGTGGGCCCAGCCTTGCCAGACCTTCCTGTTTTTCAAGAAAGACAAGAAATCCAGACTTTTTTAGTGTGAAAAATCTTGATTCTTAAATTTTATAATTATTAGCGAGGAATTATTTGTTTAAACATGATGTGAACCAAACAAAACGCATCTACAGGCTGCCAGTCTGCAACCTCTGAGTTAATTTACAAGGTTGTCTCTTGTTTGGGGACTAAGTCGCTCGGTTCAGAAATCTTTTCATTTGGCTCTTCATCTAGTCAACAAATCTTTATTGAGTATCTACGGAGCATTGTTCTAGAGCTGCCACTTGGCATTAATTTGCTCAAATGACTGACACCAAAAGGGATAGAGATTATGGGTGTGTGAGTGGGTTGGTGGATGAAGAATGGATGGATAGATGGATAGGCAGATAGATCAATCTGATCTTTTAGAGATACATGCTAAAATATTGCAGATGAAATAATGTGATGTTTGGGAATTACTTCAGAATAATACAGGGAGTTGAACGAGGGGATAGGTGAATCAGGATTGGCCATGTGATGATAATTGTTGAAGCTGAGTGATGGTGGCTATGAGGAGGTTCCTTATACTCTTCTGCCTTCTTTTGAATATGATTGGAAATTTCCCATACTAAAAATATTTGTTTTAATGTCCTTATCAGTTAGAAATGCACTCTGAAAGAGATATAGGTAAAATGACGTCATGTCTGGGACTTGGTTTAAAATATTCAGCTAAAATTTTTCACAAGTCAGGGTATAGATGTGCTATGATCTGAATGTTTGTGTTCCCCTCCCCACCACCTACAAATTTGCATGTTGGAATCCTGACACCCAGTATGATGGTGTTAGAAGGTGGAGCCTTCGGGAGGGTGATTAGGTCATGAAGGTGGAGCCCCCCTTGAATGGGATTAGTGCCCTTACTAAAACTCCAGAGAGCTTCCCAGCCCTCTGCTGAGGATACAGTGAGAAGTCCGCAACCCTGAAGAGGGCCCTCACCCGACCATGTAGGCACCCTGATGTCCCAGCTTCCAGAGCTGTGAAAAATAAATTTCTGTTGTTTATAAGCTACCCTGTCTGTGGTATTTTGTTATTATAGCAGCCTGTATGGACTAAGACAAGATGAAACATCCTTCAGCAAAATGTTGATAATTGGTACAATTGGGTGATGGGTATATGGAGATTCATTGAACTGGCGTGTTTAATTTGTATACGGTTGAAATTTTCTACAGTTAAAAAAATGTTTAAAGGGATAGAGAGGTGGGGGCCTCTTGTTTCTAGGTACTTTTGGAAGTATGGAGTCATACACTGGGTGCGTATGTGAATTTCCCATGAGTGCGGTAGTGTTGACAGCAGAGGAATGGGTACTCTTTAACAAGGGATGTCACAGTCTGAGCTTGCCTTTGTGAGGCAAGAAGCATGGGCTCTATTGTGGACTCAGCCTGCAGGTTGAGAACAGATTTCTCACCTGGATGGTTTCCCTGCAGGGTGGTTTTCCTCCCTGTTACCCTGCAGGGAGGCAGAATAGCACAATGGTCAGAGAATCTGGAATCAGCCTCCCTGGCTCCAGGTGCCAGCACTACCACTTTCTAGCTGTGTGTAGCCTTGGACATGTTTCTGAGCCTCTGTTTCCTCGGAGCCTCAGTTTCCTCTCTTATTAAATGTAACACTCATATCTCACAGACTCGTTATGAAGATTGAACTAATAATTACATGTTAAGTACTTAGCACAGAGTTCGACATGTAGCATTTATTTATTCTCATTATTGATGCTTTTGTTCTTACTATATTGTGACTGCTCTGAAACATTCTAAGAGCAGAACAAACTTTCTGAAATAGATGGAAGAAAATACGTGGCGACAGAGGCTAAAAGAAGTCAAAGAAAGAGGCACTTACTGTTAGCTGATCTACCCACAGAAGTCCATTTGTGAGCTGCTAGAATCAGTTTCCTGCATGATAGGTACAAAAAGAATACAAAAAAAAAATGCACCTTCCTGACCATATCCTTCCTCCGCAGAATGAGGTAGAATTGGGGGAGCTGCTTCTGTCACTGAATTATCTCCCGAGTGCTGGGAGACTGAACGTTGATGTCATTCGAGCCAAGCAACTTCTTCAGACAGATGTGAGCCAAGGTTCAGGTACTGTGTGGCCTCTCCTTCCCCCATTTCTTTAACAAGCCATCTATGTTTGTTTGACACAAGGGACCTGATTTTCTTTTTCTGCATCCTGGATACTATTAATTAACGCGACCCTTTGAGCGTGAAATAGCATCCATATCTAGGATGTTAGTTCAAGAGGAAGAATAAACGATCGGTTGTTTCTTAGGATGAGGCAGGTAAGTGATACCATTCCAGTTACTCCATTTGAAGCAGGGGTTTGACCGAGACCAGGTGTGATAACTACTGAAATCTAGATCCTCTTTGTACACATGCAGCCCCAAAGAAGTTAACTTGCCTTTCCAGATGCTATGCATGTAATGGAGACACCATGCTCCAGGTGGCGGTAGCGTGCACTGACCATGCATTCTAATCTGTGAGAACAGTGGACACACCCTGAGGTTCTTTTCCCAGCTCTTTTCAAGAGTAGCATAAGTCTTTATAAATCCCAGCTCTGAAAAGACTGTTGTATTTAAAGTGCCTATAACACACCAATTCAAACGTGACTTTTAATGAAATAGAACAGATTACATTCCATTTGTATGTAGCTTTCCCATGACAGCAAAGGATATTATCATGAAAGCAGCCATGGTTGCTCAGTAGTGGAAGTACAGTCTTCTCTAAGTGCCATAGCTAAAATAAATTACTTTTGCTATAAAGTGACAGCTGAATTTAGAAGACAACTTGTATTCTCAAAAACCACATTATAGGGCTTCCCTGGTGGCGCAGTGGTTGAGAGTCCGCCTGCCGATGCAGGGGACACGGGTTCTTACCCCGGTCTGGGAAGATCCCACATGCCACGGAGCGGCTGGGCCCGTGAGCCATGGCCGCTGAGCCTGTGCGTCCGGAGCCTGTGCTCCGCAACGGGAGAGGCCACAACAGTGAGAGGCCCGCGTACAGAAAAAAAAAAAACAAAAAACACACACATTATGAAAACAGGTTTTGAAGGGACCAGTAGAGGGAATGGTATTAAGGCTGGAGAGTTTCAGAATCACCACAGTGGGAGAGTCAGTATGATAAAATGATTAAAGGCTCCGGAGTCAAACTGCCTGGAACCAAAGCCTAGTTCTACTGCTTATAAATAATGTGGGCTTGGGGAAGTTATATATACTTCCCCATATATAAGTTATATAAGTATATATACTTATAACCTCTATAAGCCTCAATTTCTCCATCTGAAAAATTGAGATAATAACAGTATTCATCTCACTGGGTTGTTTAAACAAATACAAGATTAGATAATGTACATGAATCTCTTTGTAAACCATAAAGTGATCTGAGAATGACAGTTATAATTCTGTTTTTCCCTGTACGGGCTATGGGCTCACTGACATGTTAATGAGTCTCTAAGGGCAGAAAACTAGAACAGGCTCTGGGTCTAGCTCTTCTTCCACTAGCCTGATCTTAAGCAAATCATTTCCTGTCTTGAGCCCTCAGTTTCTTCATCTGTAAAATGAACACAATGCCTGACACACGGGAGGAGCTCAATAAATTTTGGATGGCTAGAGTAAGAGAGAAAGGGGTGAGCAGAAAAGCAGCTGGATGGGAAAAAGGAAGAATATATAATAGGTGGATAGATGGGAAAATGGATGAATGAAAGGAGGAGTGGAAACCTGGAATGGATGGACTGATGAGAAACGAAAGGATGGGTCAGTGGTTGGGCTGTCAAATGGATGGGAAGTTGGATGGATAAGTGGATGGGTGGATGGATGGATAGATGGATGGATGGATGGATGGATTGGGTTTCCTGATCTCCAACGCTATGATTCTGCATCCAATTCTCAGATCCCTTTGTGAAAATCCAGCTGGTACATGGACTCAAGCTTGTGAAAACAAAGAAGACATCCTTCTTAAGAGGCACAATTGATCCTTTCTACAATGAATCCTTTAGCTTCAAAGTTCCCCAAGAAGAACTGGAAAATGCTAGCCTAGTGTTTACAGGTAGGTAGTGTTCCAGACATTGATGAACTGCAGGTGAGGCATATTCAGTGTATTGTCCTAGGGATAGAAGGTGATCTAGAGAGGGTGATGTTTAAGAACTTCGCATCTGGTATTCAGCTACCTGGGTTTGAACTCACCATTTGTGGACTTGGAAAAGATTCATAGAACCACAAAGTATAATTGTTACAAATATAAATTTTGGAGCCAAATTTCCTGGCACTTCCACATAATTGCTAAAGTCTTGGGCAAGTTACTTAGCCCAGGGGCTTCCAACCCCCAGTTTGCGGACTGGTACTGGTCTGTGGCCTGTTAGGAACCAGGCTGCACAGCTGGAGGTGAGCAGTGGGGAAGTGAGCAAAGCTTCATCTGCTGCTCCCCATTGTTCGCATTACTGCCTGAACCATCGCCCCTATCGCTCGTATTATCGCCTGAACAACCGTTCCACCCCCAACCTCCGTCTGTGGAAAAATTGTCTTCCACGAAACCGGTCCCTGGTGCCAAAAAGGTTGGGGACCGCTGACTTAGCCTCTCTGAGCCTCAGTTTCTTCCATCTATAAAACGTGAGCAATAATAGTACTTGCTTCATAGGTTTGTCGTGAAGATTAAGTAAATTGTGTCTTTGAGATAACAGTCAGTGCTGTGTTAGCTTTGACAATATGATGATTCAAGCGGCTTATGGTCTAATAGGGAAACATGAGAAAATAGGATCACCTAACTCCGAGAGGAGGATTTTGAAAGGCTTCCAAGAGGACATGGTATTTAAGTAGAGGCTTCAGGTGCCACACTCTGGCTGAATCTGTTGTTTCCAGCGTGTAATTTAATCTACTGTTTCCAGAGTGTATTAGTTATCACCCCAAACTTTAGTGGCTTAAAATAATCAACACTTATTATCTCATAGTTCCTGTAGGTCAAGAATCCAGTCATAGATTTGCTGGGTGCTTCTGGCTGAGGTTCTTTGGCAAGGCTGCAATTAAGGTATTGGCGAGGGCTGCAGTCTCCTCTGAAGGCTCGACTGGAGGTAGGGTGGGGATCTGTTTTCAAGACCTCTCACATAGTTGTTGGCAGGGATTGTTCCTTGCAAAATGTTGGCTTGAGACCTCAGTTCCTTCCTGGGTGTTAGCCAGTGACCTTGCCCACATGGGCTGCTTCATAGGGCAGTGCACAACATGGCAGATGGCTTCCATTAGAGTGGGCAAGTGAGGGAGTAAGAGAGGGTAAGCAAGACGGAAGCTCGAGTCTTTTTGTAACTCAGTCTTGGAAGTGACGTCCTATCACTTTTGCCATATTCCACTCATTAGAAGCAACTCGCTAGGTCCAGCTCACATTCAAAGGAAGGGGATGATACAAGGGTGTGAGCAACTCACTAGGTCCAGCTCACATTCAAAGGGAGGGGATGATACAGGGTGTGAGCAACTTGCTAGGTCCAGCTCACATTCAAGGGGAGGGGAGGATACAAGGGTGTGGATACTGGAAGGCAGGGATCATTGGAGCCATTTTAGAAGCTGCCCCCACCCCCACACAGGGTAGTTAGTAGAAGTAATGGTTATTATTTCCCGTGTCCTTTTCATAGACGTCACCTGTGTGATTGCTAATATTCATCATAGTACACCCTGTCAAGTCAACATCATCCTCGTCCATTTACAGGGCAGGGGCCTGAGGCCTAAGATACAAGCCATCCAATCCACCCAGGGTCTCAAGCTGGTAAGAGTCAGGATTCAAGCTCTGGTCTTGCTAGCTCCTAAAATCAAGGGATCTGCATTTCCTCAAGCACCCGAGTAGTGCTGGCATTAGGGATCTGACATCATACTTTGAGGAGTCCTGCTCCAGAGTAATTGGAAACCTTCATCTGTTTAGATCCAGTCTAGAATCCTTGGTGCAGGTGTCCCAAGAAAGCAGGCCATGGCTGAAAAATCCTTGCATGCAATCCTTCCGCTGCACAAGCTCATTGCTTCTCATCCCCAAGACTACTAATGTTCCGTGCTCCAAGACCCCTCCGAGGCAGTCTGGTTCTGGGCTTTCTCAAGACCTGTCACCCAGAGAGTCTGCATCTAATCAGGGCCACCTGCCCTAGCAGATGTAATGATTTCTGATAGAGCCTGTGATGGCTTCTGTCCAGATTGAGTTACCAACAGACAAGGACCCCACTCCCTGGAAGGTTTCAGGTCAAGACAAGACAGTGATTCCACTGACTCCTTAAAAGTAGCCAGCAGGCAGTGGGAACCATATTGAACCGAGACTGGATCCAAGTATGGAATATCGATTCCTACATCCCTCCTGAGAATAAAGGACTTAACGTTGCACCTTTAGATCAGGAAGGGGTTCGGGCAGGGGGCGGGTTGCATTGAGAGAGCCTGCATGGAAAGTCCTGACACTTTTGTATTTTACTTAAAATTTTATGACAAAAGTAGCACATGCTTGTGAGTGATACAACCGAAGGATGTGTATGGATGGAGAATCAGAAGAACAGAGGGGTTCATTGCATAGCCTGGGTGCTGACTTTGTGGCCTTGGGCAAGATCTGTGTGCTTTGGTTTTCTCATCTGTAAAACAGGGATAACCATACAAGGAAACCTCAAAGGACTGTTATGTAGATTAAATGAGATCCATTCATAATCAATGCTGAGCACTGTGCCAGGCACAAAGCAAGCCCTCAGCTAACTGTTAACTATTATTAAAAGGAAACTTTACTCTCTTCCTCACCCTCCTTCCAGGCCCTTCTCCCTGAAGTCGCCACCTTTAACGTCCTGGTGTGTCTCACTCCGCACTTTTCCCCTTGTTCACACAAACGTCATCCACCTATGGAAGAGTCAGTTCTTTTAAAAAGTTATTCATTAATTCCAGAACTGGGTATTAAGCGGCCCCTGCTCTGGTGGAGGTTTCTGGACCATTCTGTGAACGTCACTCTGAAACTTGCTTCTGTTTCATTAACAATGAATGTGTTCAGTCCCTCCAGGTCAATGCAAATATGAATGGATCTAACTCTTTGTTTTTAATAACTGCATTATATACCATCACGTGGTATACTGTGATAAAAAGCCAAGGTTACTCATTCTGGGGGCAGAGGTAGGAGTGTATGACAGAGCTTCAGAGCATGTGATAGGAACTCTGGAGTACCCTCCCCAGAAAAATACACACTAGGACAGAAAATTTTGCACACAGTTCAGAGGTGTTTTGAACCCCTTGAATCCCATATGTGAGGCCAATACGGCAGAAGCCTCAAACCGGAGTGGCGCTCCCAGCCCCACCTCCCCAACGTGCATCTCTCATTTGACATCCCCCCTCCCCCAACTTTAGGGGGCAGTTGTCAGCTGTGGCCATCAGCAAGGCCTGTGCTCTCCATTTGTGGAAGACCTGCTTCTCTCCTTTAAAGGTTGGCGTTTCAGGCCCCTAGCTCCGGTTTCTCTCCTCAGGCTAAAAGCCCATTGAAAATATTCTTTGTAGAGCAGGAAGGATTGCAGGCCTCTGTGCCCCCTTAAGCAAGGGATTCTCAAGCCTGGCTGTACTTTAGAATCAGCTGGGAGCTTTAAACTGCTACCAGTGGCCAGATGCCACCTCAGAGACTCTGATTCAGCTGGGCTAAGCTGGGGTCCTGGGCTCTCTATAAATATCTATATTTTTAAAGCCCCCCCAGATATTTCTAATGCTCAGTCAGCTTTCCGAGCCACAGCTTTGAGTGGAAATCCCAGCTGGGGTGGCATTTTACATAAAGGCCACTGGCTGGAATAATAAAGAAATGTGGATTAAGCTGGTATCTATCTAGGCAAAGCTGTGATTCTCCTGAATTCAAATAAGGTTCTAACTTGCTTTATTTATCAACTGGGGGAAAGAGCTGTCACCTCTAGGCTAAGCATCTGAAAGCCAGTCCATTAGCATGTTTCCAAACACTTCCTAACAAAAGGGAGGTTGATCTGCAATTGAAGCATTTGTGGAGAATCCTGGTAAAAGCCTGTAATTAGCTGGTGGGCTGGGCTTTCTGAACAGTTCCTTTCCTGTGTGGGATGAGGGTTCTTCTGCAGTTTGCAATCAGGTGATTTCTGCAGCTTACGTTTAAAAGAAAAGAGGGGAAAAATTGCTTTTTGACTCCTGAAACAGTAGCCTGAGGTCCAGAGGCCTTCCAGGTAGTCAAGTGGAGTTGGTCACTGGGCTTATTGGGCTGTTATTGGAAGTAGGAGGAAAAAAGAAAAGAAAGAAAAAAGGAAACGTAGCTTGATAACAGCTCTTCGAAAAATTAAAAATAGAATTGCCATATGATCCAGCAATTCTACTTCTGGGCATATGCCCAAAAGAATTGAAAGCAGAACTCAGACATATTTGTACACTCGTGTTCAAAGCAGCCTTATTCACAACAGCTAAAAAGAGCGGGGATGGGAGCAGGCAACCCAAGTGTGCACTGCTGGATGCATAAATGGGTAAACAAATGTGGTGTGTCTATACAGTGGCATGTTATTCAGCCTTAAAAGGAAGGAAACTGACGCATGCTCCTACATGGATGAACCTAGAGGACATTATGCTAAGTAATAAGCCAGATATAAAAGGACAAATAGTGTGTCATTCCCTTTATATGACGTACTTAGAGTAATCAAATTGATAGGGACAGAAAGTAGAATAGAGTTACCAGGGGCAGAGGGGAGGGGAGAATGGGGAGTTAGTATTTAATGGGTACAGAGTTTTAGTTTGAGAGGATGAAAAGATTCTGGAGATGGATGGTGGTGATGGATGGCTGCACAATGTGAATTGTCTTAACGCCACCGTATACCTTAAAATGGTAAATTTTATGTTACATGTATTTTACCACAATTTTAAAAAAGGAGAGAGACAAGAAATGTAGCTTGAGCTCCGCAGAACCCCAGTGGTTCAGCGTAGTTCCTGGATGCTGAGGCCAGACCCTTGCAGGCTGTCCTCCCTGAGGGGGTAAATGCAGTGGTTAGGGGCCAGACCCTTGAGCCAGATGCCCAGGGTTCACTCCGTGATCTTGGCACTTTCCTTGGCCTCTCTTTGCCT